GAGCTGGCAGGCGTGTGCGGGGGGGGGGGGGCGCTGAGAATTACGGCCGTGCCTGGCTCTCCATCACGGCGCCTGACACGCATTCCAGCACATGATCCATGAGCGGTCACGGAGGGCAGCCTGGCGGGTGGGTGCTTCATCTGGAAGGCGAGCCTCGGGGCTCCTCTTCTCCCGGGGCTGCAGTGTAGACTCGGGCTGAGTCTGATCTGCAGATGGAGCCCGCCCGGCCCTCACCGGCCCTGGGCTCCTGCGGCAGGAGCTGTGATGCAAGGTGGTGCTGAGCTGAGGCTGAGCGGCGTGCGTGGCCCGGGCATGTGGGGGAGCGGGTCTGGCCGCCGTGGAGGGTCGGCGTGCCTGCGACACCACCCCGCTGTGCCCCCATGCACAGCCAGAAGCGGGGGGGGGGGCTGCCGGGCGGACGTGCGTCCTGGCCTGTGTGCAGGTTCCAGCCATTACAACGCACGTCTCCCTCCATCCAGGTAAGTAAAGGGCGAGCGTGGCGCCTGGTCCGAGCATCTCACGGCCTCCACGCTGCGGCCCTGTCCACGGCACACACCAGTCCTCTAAGGCTCACCACATTAGACACGCTGCACACAGCTCTGGGGGAGGCCTGTGGTGGCGTAGCTGAGCCCCCGAATGGGTCTCCTGCGCGGCTTCTGTGGCAGGGCCTGCGCCCAAGGCCAGCCGCGGCCACCCACCGACCGCTGCTTCCGCACAGCTGTACCTGCGCCCCCCTCCCAGGGAGCCCAGATCCCCGTCTACGCACGCTGTCTCCGGTCGGCACGGACCTCCCCAAGAAGCTAAGGAGCCAGCAAGCCTCCTGCCACCTTCAGGCCTGCGCACCATGACCAGCTCCACGGCCACCGGAACACCCCCAAGGTCAGTTGTGTGGTACAAGGTCACTCACGTGGTTCGCCCTGTTATCCCACCCCATACGGCCCTGGGCCTGTAGCAGAGCGTGCGCCAGGTGCCCTCAGCCTGGGATGGCCGGTGAAGCAGGGGCACTCAGCGCCAGGAGGACGGGGCCGCGGGGCAAAGCCCATCTGGCCAGCACTGGCGAGGGAGACAGAGCCGTGCAGAGCACAGTTCCATGCGCAGGTTAGGCTGTGGAGGCCGGCCCACGGCAGCGGCCTCACCCCAGCCCTGCCCTGGACACAGGACTCCAGGGGGCCCCACTCCTCTTCCACAGGCAGGCCCAGTGCAGACCTGACCAGTCATGCCTGGACCCGCTGCCCACACCAGCCCAGCAAGGCCGCCCCAGCACTCCACAGGCCTGAGCGGCTTCCTCCTCCTCCTCCCCCTCCCTCCGACTCCTGCTCTCCTCTCCTCACCCCTCCTGACCCCAGCTCTCCTCTCCTCACCCCTCCTGACCCCAGCTC